TTAAGGTTTACATAGTAGCTACATCCAAGGTGCAACTTGCCACTCAAAATTCAAGTATACAGCTGTCTTCAGGTATCCATGTGTCCTGCTACTCTGAAGAAGAAAAAAAAAATCATTTTCTACATTGAAATGCACGCAGTCTTCGACCACACATGCACACATAGTTAGAGCTCCAAGGACTTTGCCACATGGCTTTAACACCTGGAACTCATTGTTGCAACACATTCTTAATCCTGATCTGCATGGAGAGTGCTGGGCCTCACAGCACTGGATGCATTCCAGTACCGTTATTAGTCTCATAGAGGAGCCAGCAGAAAGTAGCAGCACAGATTTAGGAACAGATTTCCAGATTCCCCATTCAGTTTTTGGTTGATCCAGTGCTTGGAGGAGTTAAATGCCTGCATACTTTTCCAGGAGAAAGACACTCTCAATGAGCAAAAGCTAACACACAGCTCTGCCAGTTTTCCTGCTTTAGGAGATTAGGCTTAAGACACAGATAAACCAAGTGTTATCAAAAACAGAAAGATAATGCGGGTCAAGGACTTGGAGGATACTGTTAGCTAATTTTCAGTAGAAACTAGGGCTGATAAAGCTGCTGGAAAATTAAAGATCTTTCCCAGTTATCAAGTTGTTCAAGACACATTCGAAGACCACCTACTTCTCAAAGGCACATTTCTATGTTTTAGGCAGGAAGGGATTTAAGACTGCTTTGAACAGTGTCTTCTTTCAGCACATAGATTTACATTTGACCAAGTTTCTTACCAGATTTCTCATTTAACCAGTTTCTCTAGTTCACCAGAACCCTCTCTTATGATAAATGCCAGCTCTACCAAACAGAAAAGCCAGCCTTAGCAAGATTTCAGTATTCTTGCACAGTCTCCCAGGTAAATTTTCAATGAAGACCTCAGGTATAAATTAAGATCTACCCTGGTTTTACCAAGAAGTAGTTACCAAGGAGTAGTTACTTAGCACAGTCCAACTTCAAAACACCAGACAAGTCCAGGCAGTGCCCTTAGCTGTTAGACAGGCTCTCACATTGTTTCCAGCTGCAACACGTAGCTACAATTAGGGCTGAGACTTTGCTGAGATGGGTCATTAACCATATAGTTAAAACCAGTAATTGGACAACACTTCAGGAACAATGATTTGCATTTATTGTCGATCAGCATGATTGCACACTGGCTCTGTTTGGTTCGATAGAGTACTGGAATTCCTAGCAGCAAAAGAAATATGATGAAAGGGCTTGATATACAGCAACAGATTATCACAAGCCTAGACATCCTATACTAATCTGTGCTGTTGCTTTAAAAAGACTTTCTGTGGCATAACACCCACAACCACATTGGAATCAGGTTTAGGGTACACTTGGTCAGATTTAATTACAGATTAACCAATTTAGGAACAATATTTGAAGCACAGCCATGATACACACTGTAGCAACCATAAAACTATAAAGAATCAGATTTCATTTTCATTTTGCCAGCTGTCTTCTTCAGTGACACATGAAACATTCAAATTCTACCTAAGATCATGAGTGTAAAACAGGTGGTATGCACTTAAAGTTGTATTAATTAGTTGTGTTTTTTTCAAATTTGCCAGAAGCTAAACGTATCAATTGGAAACAGCAATAATAGCATCCATGGTCTGAGAAGAAACAACAGAACTTTTTGAAAACAGAAAGCAGACCTTACGTCTACCAATTTTGTATCTTCAAGCTTCCTTGCCACAGACACACAACTTAATGTACCCATGGCTTTCAACCTCAAGTAAGCTGTGGTTGGCTGTTGACAAACCCTTGACCTCCCAAATCCAATAGGATTTAGACCTCTTCACTTCTTCTCTAAGTAGACCTCTTAGTGTGTTTCCAGAACAACCCAAAGAAACCTGCTGTATATCACCATCACGATTAGTATTCAGAGTTCTCTTCACTTGACAAGTTACCTCTCCTTTCCAATTCCTCCACACAAGCTGATAGCTTGAAGCTCTTTATAACATTTTGCTACGTGCTGAAGGCCCTTCCGTACATTTTAAATGGAGACAAGATGAAAGAGGTGCTTTCTCTTACCCTTAGTAGTTAACAGGATGCCCTCAGGGAGTCTAAAACAGAGATCTTGAAAGAGAATAAATGCTCCTGAACTGCCAGAGGTGGTCTGAGCAGACATACACCAAGGCTGCTGACTGCAGCAGTTGAAAGCAGGCTCTTAACATCACAGGTAGCTACTATATTCTTTAGACTCCTTGTCCAAAGGTGGAGGAGCCACTAGAGTTAAGGTTTTTTATGCTCCTGATGTGGTCGGCAACTCAAGAAAGCTGAATTCAGCTTCATGCTTCAATCTCTGCAAGAGGATTTGAGGCCAGTACATCTCCCACTATTGTCAGTGACTACTTTTGCCCTTTACATCACCATCTTTTCATTATATGGTTTTAGCATCACGCATATTACTACTGGTATCTCTTTCCAGAAAGCTTTTCAAATGCTTTCTTTATGTAAATAGATTACAAATCCTTTTAGCTAATTCATATGAGCAGGCCATTTATTTAGGCTTGTTCCTCTCTTATTGTATGAAGATCATTAGATTTTCTAATACTAATACAATAACTAAGTTATCAAGTCACCAAAAATAAAAAGTGTCACTCCCTGCTTTAGAGTCTTTTTCATTTGAATGACCTAGGAGAAAGGGCTGATGAAAACATACCCATTAAAAATTATAATGACAAGAATACTATATCTGTATCCAAGGAATTCACTTAACGCTTACAAAACACTACAAAAGGCAGCCTGGCTGTGTAGCTTCCACCTTGCTTTTTTACATTTCATTTAGTGAAGCTCTCACAACTTGTTATTCCATGACTTAATGGAAAACTGCCTATGCCACATTATTTTCAACATAGCATACACAGTCAATAGGCTCTGAATAAATTAGGAACAAGTCACTGCTAACAGAGGAGATGAAAGGAACACACATTCAATGTGGTTCAAAAAAGTTACCTACTAAATAGTTAATGAAGATTCAGTCTAAGAAGGCACCATAAAAAATACTTGTGTAATGTGAATGAGATCGTTAACTCACAAGTTTATACCTCATTTATAAACAAATAAAAGTTAAGTTTAATCTCTTTTTGAAGAGTTTATTTCAAGAGACCTTTCAACATTGTTTCAGAGTAAGAATCTCAGTTGTCCGGGTATTTTTATCTGATTGTGCCAAGAAACTGCTCTAATCAAGACATTAAAGTGTGTGGACTACAGTCATCACTAGAATCTCCTGCATAGGTACATGCTGATACTGTTGAAACCTGAAGGCCTTGCTGAAGATAGCATCTTCCTCATTTTCCACTGACTGTGAAAGAAGCCTTCACACTTAAGATTATACCCTTGAGAAGTTAGTGTCCTGAAGGCTTGAAGGCTTTTAGTGGCAGGCATTCAGTGGTCTGAAGAAAGATTTTGAAATATTTTCCTTCCCTTAGCATTTTTAGAGATGAGATTATAACTGATTATTTTCTGTTTACTGTCCAACCAGATTATAAGTGTAAATTGTAGTTTCAAACACAGTTGCAGCAACTACCCCTTTCATTTGGGTATTGAACAAGTGAGACAGCTCAGGAGTCTCCTCTTCGTCTCTACTGTGCCATTTGGTAACTAAGAAAATCTCAAAAGTGCTGTAACCACGTGGTATTTGCAAGTGAAAACACAACTGCAAATACAAAAGTACTGAGCATAGCAGCATCTAATCTGCTATTTCACATGTCTACTCTCCTAGTGTTTGAACTAATCTTACTATCTTGTAACTTTATTTAACTCAAAGGGATTCCTTGGGCAAAAGGGGTGGTGGTGCAAACCATCTAGCACTCAGTCTCTTGGAAAAAGTTGTTTCCGTGAGCTCTCAGCTAGACAGAAAGCAGTAGAAACTACTCAGAAAATAACTGTAGTTTTTCTTAATATCTCTACCTTTTCATGATTTTATTTAGATTCACCTAGATTTATGGGTTTTGCTGTCCAAGCATAGAATAACTACATTACAAAAACGACTGGGCTACTGCCAGCTTGCACAATCTACTAGGAAAACAAAATGTAAATTAAGACTTTATATAATGAGTTTTTGTCCTAATCAAATGTAGGGTTGGGTTTTTCTTCTTCTACAATAGTTTATATTACACACACACAACAATAGTGCAATAATAATGATACATTTAACAAAACTCTATGATAGTTAATGTGTGAATGTAGAAGGTAAGAAAAAAGACTGGACGGAAAGATGGAACACAGAGAGCAATACTGAAAGCTCTATTGTTCTGTTGTTTAAGCATATAAAACACTTTCATCTACAGATCCGTAGAGCAATTGATTCAATAATCATGAGGGACACACTTTAAAGATCTCAACAGTTTCAACTCCTACCAGTAAGACTAAAGAAAACAAAAACATAAAAAAATCCATCTGAGTACTTTTTCCTATGTGAAAGCGCTTTACAACATCTAACAATTTGAATCTGGACAGAAAAATCCATGTAATTAAAAAAAGAAAATCAGTACAAGGACATCCCTTTTGAAGTTAGCTTCTACTCCTTACCAAAGCAAAAATTGGGTCATCAGAGTATTAGCAGATCCCCAATGACAATGTAGTACCCTTGATTATTCAGCTATACTTAATTAAAGGATTGGCATCTCTCCCTAAAACAGAAAGTCCATTTAAAGTTTCTACTTCATCAAAGAACATTTACTAGAAATTTCTCCAGAAATCTTTCTGACCAACTTGTGGCTGTATATCCAACAAACTAAGCCTGTACTGCAGGACTGTAATCCTTTCACCATTTCAGTAAAGCACTACACCACCAGAACAAATAAATATCCAGATTAAGCCTAGACACTACAATGCCAAACTACTATGACATTCAGCAACTAAAAGTCAAGGTAATAGACTTTAGTCTCATGGGAAATAAGGGCTCCAACTCATAAAAACATCTTCCAACTCTCCCTAGGAAAAATAAATAAATAAAGTTTACCTTTTGTCAGATCACGAAAGCGAGACTGCTAACTGCTTTGCCCAACACAAATCTGCAAACTGCCACTGAAAATTTACCTTCCTGGTGTTGCCCAACAAAGCTGACAGTGTTGCCAATGTCTTACAAGCTACAGCTGCCACTAGATGTCATACACCTGGAAAAGCAGAAGGAATAATAAATACATGAACCATGTGGTCCTAAGCCCCAATTACTTGAACTGCCTCAAGAAAGAAAGGTAAAGCTAGCTTCCAGTTGCCCTGACCCTCCTGTATGTGAGACCTCAGGAGTTTTCAGTTAACGTTTATCTTTCTACTATAAAAGAGTGTAGTAACATAAAATAATTTATCTCTATTACCTTTGCTAACCTTCTCTATGTCTTGCTAGTAGCCTGATTAGAGCAGTAGCTCTAGGCAGGTAAAAGGTCTGTGTTCCCAGGCTCTAGGCCAAATGTCATCATCTCTTTTTACATGTTTTGTCCCCTTTATTTCAAAAGCATTTTAATTCTTATTGTTTATGACTGGTGAACATCCTAGATAATAGCAATGCAAACTTCCATTGGATGGCTAAGGTTTTTATTTAGTTTAAATAAAAGTTGGGCTACTTTTCAAAGCCTTATACTTAATATACAACAAAATAGATGGCTTTGATTTTAATCAGTGTTGTGCTTTGAAAACAGTTACCTAATTCCATTTGGGGATGCAGTCACATTAAATAAGGAAGCTACACTGAAGAAAGCAGGGAAATCTTTTTTCCAAATTTCCAAATACCCAATTGAAATTTCCAAATACCCAATTGAATGCTCTTTTCCAAGTTCTGTAGTGACCTACTGAACCATTCTTCAAAAAATGACTCAAAAGAGCTGGGCCACGTTCTGTCCAATTCTAGGATAAGCAATGGCAGTGGTAGCATAGGAGCAGCACCATACCCAAACCTCTCAAAATGTGCTTTCTAACCTCTCCCTCACTGTAAAATCAAAGGGCAATTTTAAATGGTAACTTCTCTCAGGTCCTGCTGGTACCTGTGGGGAGGTCTGAATTCACCACAAGTGTGCAGCCATCTTGTGTTTCCTCACGCACTTGGACTTGGTCATGTCGCCACAACGTGAGGCCTGGGCAGAGCGTTTCTTCAGTGACTTTGCACGATGGAGGAAATGGTTACGCTGGCACCTCCACAGCCAGACAACAGAAGGCCTGGCATTTAGCCCCTCACATGGCTACACAACTGCCTGCAAACATGAAGGGCTTTGTTGTGTTTGTGGTATCTACAGTGCACCTTAGGACCCATCCGCTGAGCTGGGGAAGGATTGAATGCATCCATGTGTGGAGGGACCTGGGTTCTTGTGTTTCATGAGAAAAAGCCAAACACCAAGAGGCCCCAACAAATTCTTTTTCAACCCAACACTGAAGCTAGAACAGCCAGGCCTCCACCACCCTCACGCCGGGCAGAGTGGGCAGTGCAGCCAGCCTATGGAGGTGCAGCGGGTCAGGCTGGGCACAGCACAGGGAGTGAAGGCTGGAGGGCAGCAGCTGTAGGGGTGGCATTCCCAAGGCCATGTGCCCAGGGACATGCGTATGCCTCAGCCTGAGCTGAGAGACCAAAGGCAGAGGCCATTGAGCGGCCATGACTGCAGCAAGCTGTTTGAGGTGCCTATGGCCTGATGCCGGTGAACAAAATTTTTGAACGACTCCACCACTCCGTTCAAATTGTATGTCTCCAAGCTCCGTGGGGTGAGGGTGCTCCCCTGTCTGACTCTGCAGCCTGAAATCCTTCACAGACTTCATATGGCCTCCATCTTTTCCAGACCTCTCACTCACAGCCTGCTTTTTCCTTGAGTCTCAGCCAACCAGAGAGAAGTTGCAGACACAGGTCTGGTCTCCCCGGTGTTACCACTAGAAGTCATTCACGCTATACCTTTCATCCAGACAGCACTGGTATTGCTCTGTAATTTCATCCCAGTGCCACCTCACTACATGGTCACTCTATCTTGTAGCAGGCACAGTAGAGCACTAGCTAGCGAACAGCGGGGCTCCTAAAAATGACAATCTTCAATGACAATCTTCTTCTTCAATGCTTCAATTACAATCTTTTTTTTTTTTTTTTTTTTTTTTTGGATTAAATACACACTAAATCTCCAGTTGTCTGTCACTGTAGTTGCCTGTACTTGATGAGAAAAAAATCTTGTAACTGTCTCAAAATTTCCTACTTCATCTTACTTACCATAGACTTACAAATGACATCTAAACAGCTTTATTTCAAAGTGAGGTCTTGATGCAATACAAGAAACAGAAGTGGAATATTACACAAAGTGACTGTCTTACTGCTTGTTCCCATAGCTCTGTTAGCTCTTCACTGCTAACTCCCTCTAACAGATGTTTCATGCTGTAAGTCAGGCTTGAGCCTCTGCCTCTGCATCAAGAGTTTATGAAATGAGCTAATTCAATTGCACAGTCAGAACTGCTGCTTCATGGCTACAGCAACTTCCGCAGTCTAACTTCAGCATGCAGAAGCTGTTTGGGAATTGAAATTGAATCATGCCCTTATCAGAGTCATCATTGGATGTTAGTAGAAGGTACTTGTACATTGCCTGGTTTTGGTTATTCAATTTATTTAAACCACATAATTCATCTGTTTTGAATAATCCTTTAAAAATAAATAAAAACAAAACAAGCAATATTTCAATCTATTTCCTGCCACCCCAGAACAGATAATGAACATATTGGTACCGCTACTGATGAATCTGAAATTTCTTTTGGTGATCACAAGTTGCCACTATCAGCTTGTTTATGTCATTTTTTCCTTCAGACAAAACCACAGCTGTTTTTTTTCATTGCTAAGCCCACTCTCCCCATCAACTATATGGTATGGAACAACATCCAAATCTTGCCTTCATGCTGCAAAAGAACCTTACCTTCAATACCTCCATTCCCCCCTCCCCCCCCCCCCCCAAAAAAAAAAAAGAAAAGAAAAAAAACTTCTAATTCCATTTGACACGGAAAGAACATCAGGAGGTCTCCAAATTCCTCACATATATAAAACCTACTTCTAGTATCATGTTCAAAGAGAAAAGTATTGGTTTATCAAAAGCTGAGTCCACCAAAAGTTGTGCCTTTATGTCATATACGTGTACAATAAACACATTCCATGATATATGATATTACAGGCTTAGAAATATTGCAGGTATACATTAGTGATCTGAATAAAGATAGGTCAGATGAATCCAAGTTACATTTGCTTCTTGCAAAGGTTAGAAGTGAATGTCTTCTTAACTATATCTGCATTCCATTAAGGAAAAACTGCAAATTAGTTACTGAAAGAAGAAACAGAGGGCAATCGCTCAGATTTAAAGGGGTTTCTAGAGGGCAGAATTGTCATAAAAAACTGTGTCGCAAGATCTTAAATTTGGCCAGTGCCAGAACTTATTCTAAAAATAACAAAAAGATCAATGTTCTAACAGAATACCCTCTAATTCTTATTAAAGACTGCACTAATTTTGTATACAACCAGAAATTTGGGCAGAGGGCCCAATCAGCAAATCAAGGAACTGTTAATGAATTAAAATGAAAAAAAAAAAAAAAAAAAAAAAGACAACATGCAAGAAGCAGAAACGTGGACTGGTGACAAAACAGGAGTATAAAAGCACTGCTTGGGCAATTAGGGATGGTATCAGGAAAGACAGAGCTCACTTAGATCTTAGGCTACTGAGGGGTATAAAAGGTCAAAGGAAAGCAATTCTGTAAGTACAGTAGTAGCAAACTGAAGTTCAAAGAAAACATGAAGCTGTTGCTCAGTGGAGGAGACAACCTGGTGTCAGACAACATAGCAAAGGTTGAAATACTCAATGTCTTTCTTTTGCTTCAGTCTTCACAAAGTTCCCAGATCCCTGCACATACCTGCAGAGTTTGAGAAAGAAGGACAAGGAAAGGCATGAGAGCTGGGGACTATTTTAAGAAACTGGGTATATTCATATTTTTGGGGATAGGTAGGATCCACACAAGGATGGTGAAAAAACTGGGTGAAAAAAACTGTGACTGTGAAGCCACATCATCCTCAGATCATGATGATGATCCATGGAAAAGGGCTAAAGTTACACTCATCTTTAAGAAGGGTACAGAGGAGGATCTGAAGAACTAAGCATTGGCCAACTTCCACTTAGTACCTAGAAAGATCATGCAGCATGTCTTCTTAGAATGTTTCCAAACAAACGAAGAACAAGAAGGTAGTGAGAAAAAGTCCGGATTTACTAAGAGTAGATCAGACCTGGCCAATCTGACTGCTTTCTATAATGAAATGACTTGCTATGTGGACAAGGAGAGAGCAGTGCATGTAATACATGTATGTAGCTCTCAGTAATTCCACACATCGAAGCCACCATCTTTATCGTTGTAAAAACTTCTGCAATGCCTACAATCCATAAGCACCTTTCCTCAGCTGTGAAGACACTCGTGACTGCTCCAGCCTTCCAAGACCATTCTCTTTCCTAAAAATGTGGACCTCCTCACTCAGGATTGCCTGTTTTAGGTATTTCATGTCTTACTACAATTCCCAGCTCAGATGTCTGCAGAGCTGTTTAATTCACAGCATCTAGGGCAGTGATTGCATGTGAGTATCCTCTTGTTCTCTAAACTAATAATTCCTTGTATATTCCATTATTATTATTTTTTTCAATTAAAGTTAAGTTATCAGAAGCATTCATTTAACACTAAAATTCCCAGACCAACAAGTTTTATTCTAGGCATTTTACACCTCTAAGATAATTGTTTTCTTACATTAGTTCCAGTCTGCTGAATGTGTTGGGCAAGTCTTTGTTCAGGCATGTAGATATAACACATCTAATTTCTTTTAGTCACTCACATCCTATTTTCCTCTTTTTAGGGAAAAAAAAAAAAAAAAAAAAAAAAAAAAAAAAACGCAAATCTGTGCCCATGTATTTGATTTCTGCTTATTTTGCATTCTTCTTTGAAGACAGGAATCAAAAAATGATCATTCAGCTGAATTTCCTCTTCTATGCTATTTTTGCACTTTTTTTCTTCCAGCCTTTTAAAAGAAGATGTTTGGTTACACCTAGGGAAGTTTCTGATTATTCCATTAAAATATTTTAAATCATTCCTTTGTAGCTCTTCTTTCTAGACTAT